ATTCGGGTAGGGGGAAGCTGCCGCGCCCCATTCCACCCCCTGAGGCTGCCCGTTTGCGCCACCTCGCAATCGTCCGGATGTCGCGTCTTTTCATGTGCCTCACCCACATGTTTGCGGACCTCAAAGCCGCTGGGATCGTTGCACGTCGCTGCATATTCGAGGAGCACGGGGCCCTCTAAGGTGGAGATTCCATCAGCTGCCATAGCAGCTTCGAGCGCCTAACTAATCCAGGTACTCGACGTCCTGCCGGGGATAAACGATGGTTCGACCGTAGAGCGGCAGGACGAGTACGGGACACGAAGCAAAAAAACGGGACAAACGCACGGAGCGACTCCTCAGACCCCCGGGGGTCGCGCCCTACCGGTGGGGTGCGTCCCAGGAGCCGCGGGGCCCGGAACTGACGCGCCTGGGGGGGTCGATTTCAAATCGAGCCGCAGGCGCATAGTAGACGCATAGTAGACGCATAGTAGACGCATAGTAGACGCATAGTAGGCGCATAGCAGACGCATAGCAGGCGCATAAGACCAGCATAGCAGGCGCATACCACCAGCATAGCAGCCCGGCGACCGCTGTCGACGACCCCAGGCGACGGCCGCCGGAGGTCGCCGCATAGCAGGCGGATACCACCAGCATAGCAGCCGCATACAACCCGCATACGACCCGCATAAAACCCGCATACCACCCGCATACCACCCGCATACCACCCGCATACCACCCGCATACCACCCGCATACCACCCGCATACGACCAGCATAGCAGCCGCATACCACCCGCATAAAACCCGCATAAAACCCGCATACCACCCGCATAAAACCCGCATAAAACCCGCATAGTAGGCGCATACTACCAGGCATACCGGCGGTCAACCCCCTCGGCGGGAGACCCGCGCGACGCTACTAAACACCTACTTCAACTCGCCCGTGGAAATTGTCCAGCCTCACCAGCCTCGACGTGCGCCGCGTCAACAGGCCGTCGTCGTCCGCGCTTGCCTTGCCCGCCGAACGTCGGCCGGTCGTTCGCGGTCTTGCGCTTGGCTTGCCCCGCCATGCTCGTCGGCCGGTCGTTCGCGGTCGCGGGTCCGTCGCTGCGCCGCGCGTCGGCGGTGCGGGGCCTCGCGTCCCTCGAGGACGCCGTCGAGGCGCTGCTGGGCACCTACGGCGTCGCCGGCGTGTCCGCGGCGGTGCTGGCCCCGGACGGGTCCGGCGGCGCGGTCGTGCGGCCCGTCGTCGGCGGCCTCGCGAGCCGCGCGCGGCGGGAGCCCGTCGCGCCGGGCACGCTCTTCCAGATCGCGTCGCTGTCGAAGCCCGTCGCCACGGCGTTCGCGATCGACTTCTTCGAGGCGCGCGGCGCCTGCTTCGAGACGGCCACGGTCAACGGCCTCCTCGCGGCCTGCGGCTCGCCCTTCCGGCTCCGGAGCGCGGCCGGCGCGCCGCGGGCGTGGGCGGAGGCGGTGACGCTCGCGCAGCTCGTCGACCACTCCGCGCTCGGCATGCACTACGTGCCCGGCGTCCCGCGGTCGGCGCCGTTCCCCGACGCCCTGGCCCTCGTGTCCGGGTCCGACGCGGCGCCGGCGCCCCACGGCTACGCGAGCCTCGACGTCGACCGCGCGCCGGGGACGCGGTTCGCGTACAGCGGCGGCGGCTTCCTCGTGCTCCAGCACCTGCTCGAGGCGGCGTCCGGCGCGCCCGCGGCCGAATCGCTCGACGGCTGGCTCGCGGCCGGCGGCGGCGCCGTCGACGTGACCTTCCGCCACGAGCCGCCCGCGGCCGCCGCCGTCGCCGACGGCCACGACGACGCGGGGAA